TTGCCATACATGTTTTCTGAAAAACTTGGATTTATTGATTATTGTCAACAGGCATTAAACCCTCAAGCACGAGGTTTTTCAAGAAAAACAATTAAACGAGAAATTATTCGTCAGTATAAAACTGGAAAAATAAATTTGGCAAATTTTTTTCTCAATTTTAATTCTCGTGTTGCTATTTGTTCTGATATTTGGAGTGAAACTTATCATAATTTGTCTTATATGGGTGTTACTTGTCATTGGATAGATAGTGATTGGATTATGCATAAACGTGTTCTTGCATTTCGTGATTTCAATGAACAGCATAATGCTGAAAATATTTTCCTATTGCTTCAGAGTATTCTGCGGGAATACAACTTATCTGACAAAGTGTTTTCATTTGGTTTTGATAATGCTACTAATAATACTGCAGCTATTCCTAGACTTAGAGAAATTTGCCCACCATCTACATCTATGGGTAGATTTCTGCATCAATGGTGTGCTTGTCATGTTTTAAATTTATGTGTTCAACAGGGACTAGAAGCTATGGGCGGAGTTTTGACGAATATTAAAGAAGGAATTAAAAAATTTTGGGGGGCTCGTCTTGTTTCGAGGTCCTGGAAGATGTTCTGTAAGTCTAAGGGTAGAAAAGAAATAGTTTTTGCCAAAGATATTCACATTAGATGGAATAGTACATACAAATTGATTTTCCAGATTCTAAAATATAAAGAGGAACTTGCTGAATTTTTTAGGGATGAACTCCGTATAATCATTGATCCTTTTGAATTTGTTATTGTTGAAAAATTGAATGCCGTATTAGAAGTTTTTAATAGCGCAACTCTTACTTTTTCTCATGTTTACCAACCAACTACAAATACATTTTTAAAAGAGTGCGTTACAATCACAACATGTTTTCATGAAAGTAAGGCTGATCCAGATTTGTACCCATATGTCTCTCCTATGATACAAAAATGGTGTGCTTATTATTTGTACATTCCTGATATTTATAAAATAGGTATTATTTGTGATCCACGCTTTAAGATTGAAAATTATAAAATTTTAATTGAGTATTACTACAATTGTTTTTTAGATAAAAATAGTTATTACTACAGTTATTTAGTAGAATGGAAAAAAGAAAGAGATAATGCTGTAACTTTTTTTGAGAATTTGTTTGAGGAATATCAGGGGTTATACGGCACTGTACAAGAAGAAGCAGCACCACCTCCGCCTCCGAAATCAAAAAAATGTTTTGCCGGAATAGTCGGTGGTCTTCTTGCAAAGAAAGGGAAGCGTGCTCATTCTTCGACGAGTTCAAGTGGTACAACAGTAAGCTCGCACAACGAACTTGCTATGTACCAGAGTGTGCCATGCGATTACGACGACGACGACGTGGATTTTGATGTGCTCGGATGGTGGAAGCGGAACGAACACATGTTCCCATGTCTCGGCATGCTAGCAAGACAAGTGTTATCCGTTCCGGTATCAACCGTAGCAGTTGAACGAGAATTCAGTGCTAGCGGCAACATTCTAACCGACTTTCGAAGTTGTGTTAGCGCTGAATCTCTTGAAACACTGGTTTGCAACCAAGATTGGCTCTTGGCAAGACGTCGAGCTCAAGAGTCATCGTACCTACTCGAATCGGAGCATTACATGAATGCAACAACAGATGGAAGCCCGAGTTCTGAAGAATAAGTGACAATTTTTTTATGTTAATGTAGAATTGTAGATATGTAATTAGTTTTTTTAGGTGAGCGATATATAAGCTCCTTCGAGGGTTTCTTTACGGTTCTTTACCTCGTCGCTTTTTTTGAACCGTCAGGATATTAAATGTGGTTGTTCTTCAGTTAGTGTATTATTCATTTAAAATATTTAAATAACAACTACATTTTTAGATTTTTTATTTCATTCTTTCCTATAACAATTGCAAATTTACAATTTTATACTTTAAAAATTTTAAAAAAAGCAAAAAAAAAGAAAAGGAGGGGGGCCGAAACCGGCCGGTCCGGTACCGGAACCGCCGGTCCGGGAACCGGAACCGGTACCGGCCGGCACGGTGACGGTTCCGGTGACACGGGGTGGCGGTACCGGAACCGGAACCGGCGGTTCCGGAACCGGAACCGTACCGGAACTGTACCGTGTCCACCCCTACCCAACAGGGATGGTAGAGGAAGTAAATCATGGTGACTCAGTCGGCCAAGAACGCTAGACCCGTGCCCACTGGCCACCGCACACAAGGAGCCTCCTCACCCTTTATGGGATTTTTGGATAGCTCCCACACTACCGCTTGCGGGACTCGATCCCTGGTCATCGGTCCAAGGTTTTTGATATGGTATAATCTAATCTTATCAACCAAGTCATTGGCAAAACTCTTATAAGAGATTTTTACAAGTCGTGAACGAAACCACTAGATCTAATTAAATTGGTATTGTTAAAGTCTTAAAGCAATGCTTAAAGTAGGCAACTTTAATTTTAGTAGTTTGAGCTTGGATAACAAAGTTTGTTGAGTTAGTTAGCAATGCGTGAAAGAAAGGGAGGAAACTCCAAACACACGAAATGCACTAATAGTCTTAATGTTTCCCAAACACAACTTTTTGCTCATTCGTCTCAAGCATGATCGATGATGAGATTGGCTAAACGTAATTAACACATTGAACAATTTTAACTAAGACCATGTGGTATTGCCAAGTGACCGAAATGCGTGACCCACGTGGAGGGGCGCGATAGGGGTGGCCCTTGTTGGGACGCGGCCGGGGGATTCCTCTGTTCACGTCTATCATCGCGCGTTGAGAAGAGAGATTATCTTGGCTTTTTATTTCTAATCAATCACTATTTAATAATTTTCAAATCAACGTAACCAATCTAAATAATTTACACATTTATACTTCATCACTCTCGTTAGCGACCGGGGGCGACTCCTCTGTTTGTTGGTCCCACCATTTTGCCACTAATATAGAGATGTTGAGTTTGTTTATCAAATATCGTCCCAAAAACAACCTCTATTAGAGGGGTAAAGGTTAATAAATTAAAAAAGATTACATCCCGCATCATTGAAGAAATATACTGACATTTTATATCAATGTAAACCATTACACCAGTATCACAAAATATTAGTACGTGCTTTCAGGGTATAAAGGGGATAAAATTTTTGGGATACAAATATGGAGTAATACTCCCTCCGTCCCAAATTATTTGCCACATTTGCTTTTTCAACAGTCGCGTGAACTTTTGTTTATTTCTACGTTTTCATTAGTTATTTGATAAAATAAAATATTCTTGACACTTCTTATTTGGAAGAACTTTTCATGTAGTTTTTTGATATGTAATTTTTTTTATTTCTTTACCAATATGTAAATAAAACGAATTGAAAAAACTTGATATTTTACCTTAATAATAGAAATGTGACAAATAATTTGGAACGGAGGGAGTATAATTCTTAAACTTCACCAAATACCAACCATCACAATAGGGAGTAGGTAGCACAATGAGAAAAGTCTCATTCATAAAGCACTTTATAGTACAAATCAATTATGGCTACTTCTTGTTTGTTTGTGCTTTCTTCGTTTTCATAATACACTCCATTTCCTACTATGCATATGGACCCAACAGCGGGACTGTGGATCTTTCATGTCGGTGGATAGTCATATACTCTTTATTAAATTTGATTTTGATTGAAATTATTACTCTCTCCCTCCTAATGGTTTTTTTTCGTTATTATTCACACGGTCAAATATTTATTATTTTTATATATATTTTTGTTAGTTATTTGATTAAATAATGTACCCTTGTCATATTCTGTTTTGTAGAACTTTTGATTTATTTTTGAAATATATAAAATTTTATTTTTAAATTTTACACCTACAATCAAATAAGTTATATTAAATATAAAGTTGGTCAAACCTCGTAAACAAAAACGGGAAGAACATTTTAGATCAGAGTGAGTAAAAAGGATTAAAAGATTTTTTTTGTGTCATTTACCTCTAAGCGTTTCAAAAATTGTAAAGATTCCCCCCGAATTTTTAAAATTACACTGATAGTCTTTGGACTTTTAAAAATGTTGCATATATCAATAGTTCCTAGATTTCAGATTTGGCAGTGTCACCAGTGTGTTAACTACATGCTCATCAATACACCTGTTGAAGATTGATGAAGATGTCATTGATGGATGAAAAAGTTGATCAATTAATGAAAAACTTAATCGATTGATGCCCAGGCTTCGAGCTCAGTTGCCGAGGGCTAATAAAGAATAATTATCTAGGATTTAAAGAGGTAAAAGATATTGAAAATAATGTTTGGAAAAGCATATTGGAAAGCTCACGTGTGATATATAAGTTAAGATGAATCCATACTTGCAGTGGACAATCGCATGATAACGCACTCCCAGTTCAAATCTGGTACAGAAGGACTATTGACGCAATAATTTTAAAAGTTCAAGGACTATTGATACATTTTAAAGTCAAGGGATAATTCGTACAATTTTTAAAGAACTCGAGGATAAATGTCTCAAAAAGCTCACGGATAAAATGTGCACCGGATAGCTGCAATTATCGAATAATTCGATCTTTTCAATAACAAAAATAATTGAACTAGTCAAATATCCTCAGCTAATTAAGAAGTCGACAATTGAAAATAAAAAGATTGTTAAATTGTTACACACGTTCATCTACTTGCCCTCCTAATAAAGTACGGAGAAAAAAGATGTCATCTTTTAGTGAATTAGATGAGTTTCTTTCTCTCAAAGAATGACTTCAAATGCCAAAGCTGCAGAGCAGCCACAGACAAGCAAACAAAGATTGAGAGAAAACTGAAAGTGGCCATTTTGCCCTTAGTTGCCATGTTCAGTTCTTGCATTTCTTCCTCCCTACACGATCACATTACAACATATACAAAAGAGTACTCACAGATTACAATGCTCAGATTCATCAAAAGAATAAGAAGGGGGGGGGGGGGGGAGGCATGAACCCATTGCTACCTTTCGCGAAGATAGAACATCTCGTTGTGAATCGATGAGACTGCGTCCAACAATTTCATAAGCTCAAGCTCCATCTCCTACCAGCCAATCAAGCAACGAAAGATTATTATGAGGTTTAAAGCCCACGAAGCATTTATTATAGGGACTAAAATAAAATGTCATTGCTGCATAATTAAGAATCCATTAATGAAGTGTTAAGCCATCTCACATCGGCCAATATCAAAATATAAACAAACACATATATATAAGACATTGGATTACTCTTCCTACGCCCCAAGCTATCGCCTATCGGGCTGATTTTTAGAATGTAATCCCAAATCTTATCATGTGACAAAGATCAAATGCATCAAAGATACAAATTCTAATACCCCAAATCAAATTCTCATTCATGCTACCCCGAGCAAAATGTTAATACGTCGTCGTTTTGAGCCAAAACAAATTTTAAAATTTGCAAAATTTAGTGTTGTTGAATTTTAAGTGTGAATGTTCTTCAATGAACATTCAACAGCTTAATACTAAGTAGTATCTGGGTGAGTATTAAACAGGGCTAAACTTGGATTCTAAGTTTCTAACACCATTGGTAATGGAAATATGAAGAAACAACTAAGAGATCTCACCCAATCATGAACGTAGATAGTATTTTTGTAGTTCCTCTCCCCTCCCATTTCTCTTTTTTGGTAATTTATCCTATCATCTATGAGGAACTAATTTAATCAGCTGAATAACTTACCACAAGCAAGCACAAACTAAGAACTTAATTAACAAATACGGAGTAGCAATGAAGGCAAACAAGAAAATGCAGGGGGGAAATTGAAAGAGGGGGCAGAGTTTCAAAACACTTACTTCAATCTGATCTTTCTTGGCAACTTTGGACCAATCCTTGGACGAAAACCCGGTCTTCCAATCGAACTCAATGGACAGCGTGAAGGGTGGCTTGTGATCAGGCGCCCAGAAACAAACCATATAGTCGCCCGTCTCCGCCGCAGTAAACGCAAAATTACCAGACTCTACATGCTCTGCATAGTGGTAGTGGTGCCCATATGGAGACGTCACCTGTTTCATCCATTCATCCACACACCCCTTTAAGGCATTTCATCAAACACTTGATGTGCAGCAATCAACATTATCCTACTTATTAAAGTACGACTTAAGCAATTACACTTAGGTTATACGGAGTATACCCTAATTCACGAAATTAAATTGAGATTCAAATAAAAGGGATTGCGTCCAAATTTCAGGTCCTGGGGATTCGAGAAATTAAATCAATATAAAACTTGAATTCCAGAGATTTTTGGGGACGGACCCGGACGGTGGCCTTATGGGAATCCGGCAGGGGGTAACCGTCGAGGGGGTTGATGACGGAGTACTTGCCGACGGTCATGGCGTTCTGGTTGATGTCGTCGGCGATGCATTTGGAGTCGCCGGACTTCAGATCGAACCGCATTGCTTCACCTGATCCCATCATCGCCGTCGTCATCGCCAAGGCGATCAGAATCCGGCAACTAAATCTCCCCATTGAATTCATTTCCTCAATCTCTGTGGTCTTGTTTGGCTTTCATTGTTATTTTTTTTCTTCTTGGGTTTGGCATTCGTATTAATTTCCTATTTCCTCGCTATTCTTCAGGCGGACAGTACAGAAAATATCCCAAATGCACAAATTCATAGTCCCATGCATCACTACGAAATAAATAACCCAAGGCCATAAGTTTACACACATTGAGATGGGCTCAATACTTCAATTACTTTCTACATAAAAATAAATTTTTAATTTTTCTTTTTAAAATTTATTTCAAGTAAACGTTGATTAATTCACATTACTTTTTTTGTTTCTACGCAAATTTCATCCACAAGTTTAATTTTTTCTTAGATTTTGTAAAATTAAAAATAGGAAAGTTTAGAGTATTTTTAATAGAAATGATTAAATAAGTTTTTCCTCTAAAATTAGAATAAGCAAGTGAGCATGATCCACATGAATATAGCTTTTGAAGCTTGAAGCAATATGCATTGAAAGCTATTGCATTTCTGCTGTTACAAAAAACATGTACCAGTATTATTCTGACTCGACATAGACCAAACACACGGTCTACGTACGAATCAAACTCTTAGAAAGAGATGAGATTGACATGCCACCATCTCTAAGCTTCAATTGTGCATATGTCATGTCGCGCAACTGGACAATTTATTGAAGTATAACAATTTTTAAAAAAGAAACGAAACAACCACACCAGCTAGAATAGCACGAAGAGGGAGCGAAAGCGTGCAGTGTTTAGACTCCAGACATATATATATGCCGCGTTTGGCTATATGGTCTCTAGGGCCTGAAGAACGTCAGCCTTCAAGTCTTCAAAGCCCTCCACCCCAAAGCTGAACCTAACCAAGCTGTCCATTATCCCGAGTTTGGCCCTTTCTGACGGGGTAAGATCCCTATTATTCCCAAATTAATACATTCAATTCATTCATGACAAAGAACCAAACAACAAAGTGAATTCAAAAACATGCAATATATGTGAATTATATATATACTTATGTAGTAATTAAGGGGTCATATAAACACATACCAATAAGTCATAATAGCAGGCTGGTCCACAATGCTCTCAACGCCACCAAACGATGGGGCATTGTATGCAATCTTCAGAGCATCCACAAATTTTGCAGTTCTCTTCAGGTCTCCATCAATCTAATATCCATTGTACATGTAACATTATATTGACAAGCTTTCGGTACCTCATATGGTATGAGTCAAGTTTATTCTTAAGAATAATATATTTATGCTTCACACAGACCTCAAAACTGACCACACCGCCAAAGCCACTCATCTGTCTCTTGACAATATGATGATCTGGATGACTTGGCAGCCCCGGGTAATGCACACGCCTCACCTGCAATGCCAAAACAGCCCAAAGTTATAAACATGTTTTTGAAGATCGAGCCATAGAATAGATCGAGTAGAAATAGTGCAGAACTGTGTTGATACCTTTGGATGGGCCTCCAAAATTTCAGCCATCTTCAATGCCGTTGCGTTTTGTTGCTGAACTCGAAGGTGCAGCGTTTTCATCCCTCTAATGATAAGATAGGCGGCATTCTGATAGAAATTGAGATTTTGCAAACTTAATTCAACTTGGGAACATTCCATATGTGTTTATGATATTATCATACATTGAACACTCACTGGGTCAAGAACACCACCCATTGTTATATGCAGGTCATGAATTAGGCAAATCAACTTTTTAGGTCCACTGATGCATCCAGCCAGAACCTGCAAAAGGAAAACAACATTTTTACCAGTCAATTGATGAGAGGTGATAAGGGGTATATGTGGCAGCTAAGTAATAGCTAAACACTAGCTGACATCAGCTGCTTACATCATTATGCCCGCCGAGGTATTTGGTGGCGGATTGCAGGACGAGGTCAGCCCCGAGAGCTAAGGCCTTTTGGTTGATGGGAGTGGACAATGTTCCGTCTATACAAACCAATGCGCCCTTTTCGTGGCAAAGCTTGGAAACAGCCTCAATGTCAACACATCTTAGCAATGGGTTTGATGGAGACTCTGAGAAATAAAGGCTCACCTGCACAAATAATAACACAGCACCAATAACTCAATAAGGAATGACTATTGAATTGAACCTTACACTCTGTTTTTTTTAACATAAATTTTCCAACACTAACTTTGTGTCTATTCAATGCAGACTCCAAACCTTCCATATCAGCAGGGTCAATTACAGTGGCCTGCACTCAAAACAAAAATGACACACTTAAAATCCAAGCTTGTGATTGTAGTCCCATGAAGGGTTCTAGTGACAGTTTTACTATGGGAGAAAATTAAATGTCTGTTACGTACGGTGATGCCCATTTTAGGAAGTATTGTCTTGATGAAGATCCTAATCTGCACATAGCAATCGGTGGTGGTGACAATATGCCCACCGGCAGGGACCAATGCCATAATCATTAAGGTACTGGCAGCCATTCCAGAGGACACTAACAATGTCGATTCTGCCCCTTCCAGCGCGCTGCTCAATTCAATTTAAGAAAGAAACACAATTAAAACTCTTCTATTGAATTACTAGCCACAACATTCTATTCAAAGAAATGAGAGCTGATGGACCTCAGCTTCTCTTCCGCAACTGCAGTGGTTGGGTTTCCCAATCGCCCGTATTCAAAACTCGCTCGTCTGTTCTCCTGTAAGATCATCAGGATCAGAACAAAACCAACTTTTTTTGCAACGAAATCAAAATCTATGTATTCCATGGCAATAAATATAATGAATGTGGATGGTGACATGGTGTTGAAGCAAATACAGTACTTTGGAATCAATTAGTTCAGATGTGCTGTTGAAGAAATAAGCAGATGTGTTAACAACTGGAGTGGTTATTCCATCAGTCACAATACCTCGCCCCATTCTTTCCCCTGCATAAACCACGAACACATTGTCTTCAAAATCTAATCTTTTCAACATCTTTAAAAAGTCTTGATTTTTGAATGTCTGTACAAAATTATTGTTTCTAATCATCTCAGCCTTAGCTTGGCGTTCTACTTAGAAATGAGCAAGAACAGACATACCCCCGTGAACTGCAATGCTCCCGTCTGAACTCAAAAAGGAAGCGTACTTGGCTGGGGAAAGATTGCGATTCTTTACATCACCACTGCCCTCTAGCTCAGCCTCCTCAGCTGCAAGGGGCGAAGCGGCGGCGGCGGCCGGAGAAAGGACGGAGGTAGGGTGGATGTTGAACCTTGATGCCATGTTTGGGAGAGGGTGTTGTTTGGCCGGTAGAGGGAGGATACACTGATGAGAGAGTAAAGCACTGCATTATTTATACCAGTGAGACTAGGGAGTGACAATTTGACACTCTACACCCTTTTCTTGTCCAAATTTTTTTCTTCATTTTTCATGAATTATTTAATATTTTTTTTAACATATCTTGTTTTATAAAAACTTTGATGTATTTTTTGAAATATGTAAATTGTATGTTTTGTTTTTATATTAATTTGTAAATAAATAATTTCAAAAAATGAAATTTTACATGTCGTTCGAAATAACAAAATATTTTTTAAACGAATAAAGTTCCAAAAGTATGAGATTTTACATGTCGATCAAAATAAGAAAACATTTTCATGAGTATTTTTTTTTCAAAAATGTTTGGGCACAATAAATTGTATCCTAGCCATATCTCCTCACCATGCACACATCTTTGAGTGTGCATAACAAAATTTAAGAATGAATGAAAAAATGTGTGGTACAGGAAAGATAGGTAAAAAAACTGGAGTATGCCTTAGTGTACCTCTATCGTTACTCAATTCTAAAACGAAAAAACATTTTTTTGATTAACACACATAATAAATACAAGTAGTTTTTTAATGAGAACTTTTTATTTCATTAATAAATGCCCAACAATAAAGAATTTATATCATGAACAAAAACGAGCCTAAAAAAAGAAGATTTGGGTGATACACAAAAATGCAAATGATATCATGAGAAGTTTCGTTTTTATTTTTTGCATAAAAACTTTTTAAATCCGAATTGAGTACTATTATGTTTTTATTAATTTTGAAAAATATATATTGAATATATGTAAGCTTTAAAATTGCCCAAATTTCATAGTATGGATTCTTTATTGAAAGAATAAAAACTAGAATTTTTGTACTCCTAAGACTCTTGAAATCTATATTTGAGATTTCTCACATTTTTCATACTTCGACAAGTAGATATTTTATTACAAGAGGCCTAATATTTTTACGTTTCCTATTTACTACCATCCATAAAATGAGTATGAGTTTTAAGAACATGTAAGAATTTGCCTAAAAACTAATGTATAATTTATTTGTTCTTACGAAAAGTTTGTTTGCACGATTTACAATGGTTGAGCAAAATTGCTTTGAATCTAATATATTTAAATGTTGATGTAAAATTAAAAAATATTTTTTTTATTTATAAATTCAATACAACGAAATTTGATTTGATTATTTTATTTTAATAAATAAACGATATAAAATGAAAGAAAAGAAAAAAGTATTTTGCAAACGACTTTGTAACGACATCATTGTGGCTCTCCAGAATGGGAGATCACATGCCCAAACCTCAATGAATCGATAATTCTCAGAACTTTAATAAGTTGAAAAAATATGAACATATAACATATTGCAATTGAGTCATTAGTGATAAAAAAATATTCTTTTGTTGTTTATTTGATTTAATTTTTAACTATATAATACTATTTTCAAATTCAATACTCCGTATCACTATTTAGAGAAATTGAAATAAAAATAAATTCAATGAAATTCTTATATAATACTCCATTAAATTTTAGTTCTAAAAGAAAAAGAGTAAGGACCTATTCGGAAACCTTTTCAACGTCTTGAAAAAATTACCTAATATCAATGTCTAATTTGAGTAATTTCAAAATTAATTTGCACTAGTGAAAATTTATACCTCTTTGTTCTTAAGTACTCTCTCTATCCCAAAAAAGATTATCATTTTGTTTTGTCACAAAATTTAAGGAAAGTGAAAGTGTGTAGTGCTGGATATCGAACGCTACTAATTCTTCTAAAACTGATTTGTGAGTGGGGTGACTTAGATAATCACCCCCCTTATGACAATTGTTGCACACATAGCCAATATGTAGTTGAATATGATGGAGAGGACAAAGAGAGATTATGACCACTCAAAGTTTTCATATAAAGAAAAGATGAGACTTTTTTAAGAACCTCTCAAAATGGAATGAAGAGTCTTTTTTTAGACAAATAGAGTATATTTATTTTTTGATTTTGGGAGGAAAGTTGCAGAAGTTTGATTAAATGACAAGAATTGATACGAGTAAGATTTAAAAAATATCATAATAGGGAGAAAGGGTTTAGAAAGTGGTTGGAATAGATATTGTTAATTTTTGAAAAAAGGCGTCTATTTTAATCTAAACAAAAAAAATGTTTTTAAGACAAGTAAAAAAAGGTTTTAAAGACGAATATAATATGAAACACTAACGCTAATTAGAAATATATGCACATCCAAATATCTGATGGTTGAGCGGCATGATGGTGACTTTTCTATAAAGAAAGTCTCAAGTTCAATTCTAGTGGGAACTATAACTCTACGTCCTTAATATATTAAGAATTATAAATAGATATTACCTTCGTCCCAAAATGCAAGCAGCAGTTGCCATTCTGACCTCTTGATAATTTTTGTTTGTTTACTCATTTTGGTTAATCATTTGATAAAATAAAATATTCTTGTCGTATTATATTTTGTAAAACTTTTAATGTGATTTTTACTTTTTATTTATCGACTTATTTGTAAGCAGCAGTTGTCATACTCGCGAATAAATCAAAAGATGGGAACAGGCTGTGAATTGATTTGATTTGGCATATTATGGCTCCGGCGTTTTCTCATCACACGTTGTGATTGTGGGAATCAATTCCCTCAAAGTCCCCACCAACGTCTCCATCACAATTTCGTCACTCCTGACTCCATTAATCCGGAAAATGCTAGGGATATACCAAAAGTATACCCCAAACATTCTCACCCCTTTCATCACCACACAAAAAAAAATCAAGAAAATTTCAAAAAAAAAAGTAAAAAATAAAAAGAAATTTTTTAATACATTTTAGAGTTGGTAATAGATTTTTTCGTTGCAAAAACGTTCAATCTTTTATTATATTAATACACTAAGAGCATGTTCTTTAAGATTGAAAAAAAAGAACTGGATGTTGGAAGAAATTGGAAACAACTGGAAAATCTGGAAAAAGCTAGAAGAACTGGAAGAAAATGAAAGAAACTAGAAACAACTAGAAGGAACTGGAAAAAAATGGAAGGTCTCTCCACATAATGTTAAGTTACTTCTTTTTTATGGAGTACTCCCTCCGTCCTATATCTTTCTTCCCGTTGCGCAAAACGAAAAAAAATCTCAAATTTTTTCAATCTATTTTATTTAAATATTGGTATAGAAATAAAAAATAAAACACATTTTTAAAAACTACATCAAAAATTCAACAAAAGAAGTGGTGACAAGAATATTTTATTTTATCATATAGGCCATGAAAAAACACAAATAAATATAAATTTCCGTGAAGTTGGAATAGTGCTCTGGGAAGAAGGCTTTAGGACAGAGGGAGTATTATTTTACCCGTTAAAAAGTTATTCCCTCAGTCCACTTTTTAATAACTTATATTGCTTTTATTTTAGTGCATTTGTCAAGTTTAATTTTTTAGTTGAGGGGCATCCAAGCCATAAAATAACCCCTCCATTTGCAAAGGCACTGTAGAAAATCCCTTTAAAATAACTCTACTCAAACTTCAAAAGCAGTTAAGGAAAAGAAAATTTGTGGATAGGAGCATATGAAGATTTTACAGGCCCTTAATTATACTCCCATCTCCAAAAATATTAGGTGTTTTCCTTTTTTGATCAAATTTCATCGACTTCGGTTACAATTTATTTTTAAAAAAGTATATCTAGTTATAATATGAATATAATATAACTAAATTTACTTCAAGATGTTTTAATATATTAATATCAAATTTTTATAAAATAATCCAAAATATCGCTGTTAGAGCTGAGGATATGGACTAGTGGAATCATCTATGGGTATAACTGTATGTTAGATATTTCTCACTTAGCTTCAATGCTAAGCGTGTAACCCTCTTTCCCATTTGCTACACGTAGGTTATCTAGGAAATGATGAACTTGGAGCCAATCCCGGAGGACGATGAGGAGGCTGAGATGTGCGTGGCAGTGGTCGAAGACTTTGAACTCTTTTTATTATTGAGGAATTTACGTAAATAACACTAAAATATAATGACTTTCCCTAAATAACACTACATGTGTTTTTATTCCCAATGTAGCACTTGTGGTCATTATCCATTAGTCATTATTCAAATAAATGTTTGTCATCACTAGTCATTATGGACATTATTAAGTGTTATTTAGGGAATAAAACCATTTAAGTGCTATTTAGAAAAATGACTTAAGTTTTAGTGCTATTTAGTGCAAATATTTCTTTATTATTTAATAAACTTATTACTATTTCGGGCATGATTCCCAAGTTGTGTTTTGAATTACGAATTAAGCTTCCGCAACCGTTTTGATTATTACTCCGATGGATATTGAATTATGTTTTGAAATGTTATTTAAATTGTTTTGAAAAGTTAAATGGTGTTTGGATACCAAATTAGTAGCAGGCTGGTTCCCTGATCCGAGTATTCGGGTTATGCGGGTTGGGGTGTTACAAGCCCTGCGTGAGCAGTCACCAGGGTGATTCCTTCCAAAGAGATCGCATACTGGTTGCCTGGAAGGCTTGCTTCGATTGCTTGCCGCCTGCGACTGAGCCGACGCGGATATGGTCTTCTTGAAGCTCTGGGTACTCTTAGTACCCCCAAAGGATCGCTTACCACTTGGTGCCGCGCTGGTCGCGGGTTGCTACTGCTGTTCGTTCTTTCCGCCCCGTTTCATTCATTGAGGGAGACACGAGAGGGAGAGGAGGATTACGTGAGTATTATGGGAGGCGTGTAGGAATTTTAGGCGTGTAAAGCCTATATTTATATTTTTGGAGTTTTGGGCTCCGTATTAACTGAACGTACCTGGCCCAAACGCACTTCTTGGGCCCACGGGCTCCAAATCCGAATCCGATTTCACCGTTAGATTCGATCCGTCGAACCCTACACAACAGTAAAAACCTTATTTTCAAACGAACAATATTTATAATTTCCACCGAGTCCGTCTTAGTAATTAATTAATTATTTTTACTTAATTCTGACAAGCCGGATTTCGGGGCGTTACACCGCATGATCTTGATTGATTTGGATTCATCTTCTTACGACCCTAACGTTTTCATTCTGCCCCAAACTCACGTAGTACAAGTTAAGATTTGGACTACTTTTATAAATATTTCATCATCACTAGACGAATTGGAAGA